AAAAAAAAAAAAACAATAAACGAGGGAGCCGAGCTGTTCATAGGCAGGGAAACAGGGTTCGACTTACCTCAGCGCGCTGTTTGTTGATGACGATCCTCTTGGGCAAGGCAACGAGCCTCCGCCTCGCAGCTCCTGACGGCTATGGTAGCCTTCAGATAAGTCCCCTCCTATCCGAACCTCCTCTGGTTAGCTTTCCACCTCCTCTTCCCTACTTATTCCTCGTCCTCCACTTTATTCGTCTTCCTTTCTCCTTCCCCTTCTTTTCCTTCTCCTCCTCCTTCGTCTACCTCTTCTTCCTCCTTTGACACTGTCGCTCACTGCAGCGGCGCATCAGCGTCCGGCCGACTCGGATCTTGGCTTTTTTTTTTTTTTTTTTTTTTTTTTTTTTTTTTTTTTGACTCGGATCTTGTTAGCGCCTCTCCATTTACACACTCTCCCCTCTCTACTATGCCGCGTCTGCTCACTCTGATCGTGAATAGACGGCGTGAATGCTAGAAGACCATTGGCCCCGCAGCTAGTGCTGCCAAGAGCAGCAACAACTGCGGACTGATGGGCGGGAAGGCAAGCAGGTAATCACTGGCGGTTCAACCTGACAAGCTAAGGATTAAGAATGAACTTACCCAGGATTCGCAGCAGCTGCAGACTGGGTACCGCCCTCGATGCTTGAAGCAAGGCCAGCAGGGGTGACGCAAATGGGAGCCTGCAGGTACCCTGGATTAAAAATATCCGCAGACCCCTCCGGAAAGGAAACCTCCAAAGGAGGCCTAGGCACTGGGCCGGTAAGAACAGAAACTAGGGGTTCAACACCCCTATCATTGACGGGCTCACCCAAAAGCCTAGAAGAAAAATCGAAAGGAGCATTGCCGCTTGAAGGACTTGCGCTGACTCGCTGGTAAGGATGGAAACGGCGCGGTGAAAAGGAAACGGGTATTTTAACCGGCCAGGCAGTTTCTCCCCGCGCTGTTTCTCGTAGCGAATTTTCGACTCCACGATTGCGAACGCTCCGATCTCCGTACCTGCAACGGTGCAGAACAGAGTGAGACCTTTTGTTTTCCCTCGCGTTCACCACGCGAAAATTGGGCCCGCCCGCCCGTGCCCTCTGTGCATTGGTGGAAGGACCCCCAATTTCCCAGCTTTGCAGAAGGTTCTGACTTTGTTCTATGTTCTGACAATCATCACTTCCTTTGACAAATCTACTCATTGACAATCTACTTGCATCAGTTTGTTGTGCTTTGATTTGTCAGTTGTGTTCATCTTGCCCCTTGAAGTTGTGATGGTTTTCTGAACAGTTACCCCCGACAGCTCTACCCCCTTGAAGTGATTCTGACTAAGAAGTGGCACACCGAAACCACCCAGCGCACCAGTAGGATGGCTGCGTATAGATGGATGCGTTTTCGCGGCCAGGATGTATACAACTTAGCTTTAGGGTCCGGTGGGGACGAGTGCACCGAGGCAGCTACGTTGTCCAGCTGCATTCACAATGTTGTCGGATGTGTTGTCGTGCAGAGTCGTGCAACTAGGCCTAAAAAATAGGTGTAAGTGGGTATAGGGCGTTGACCGGTTATCCGACCGTTCGTTACATTGGGAGATTGACGGAGGTGCTACTCTCCGACCGTGAAAAATGAGACTGACTGAATCCTTCTTTAGAACATGAGAAGATGCAGTGTTCAGTCCCATTCGTTTTTGTTTTTTATTTACTTTTTTTTTTGTATTTTGTTTTTTTACTTTTTTTTTGTATGTCTGTGAGTGGACAGAGTTTTTTTTTTTTTTTTTGGGAAAGTGAACAGAGTTGCGGTTAGATGCATCTAGGTTTCGTTTCTGTTTTTTCCCTTTTTGTTTTGAGTTGAGGCTAGATGTCTGGGGGTGGACTGAGTTGCGGTTAGATGCATGTAGGTTTCGTTTCTGTTTTTTGACTATTTTTTTTTGGAATGTCTGGGGGTGGACAGAGTTGTGGTTAGATGCATGTAGGTTTCTTTTCTGTTCTTTTACTCTCCGACGGTGCAAATGAGACTGAATCCTTCTTCAGAACATGGGAAGATACAGTGTTGCCCCTTAGTTTGGCCTTTTTCCATTTCTCGATTTATACGTGGCCTTTTCTGGGCCTTCCTCTACTCTACTAAATGTCTAAATGTATCTGACTGCAATCACGTCCACAATTTAGTTTAGTTCGCAGCTATTGGGTTCTTCCCGGCGTTGCGGTCAGTCAGGATCGCCAGGTCGTCGATGCAATGCGGCGTTCGGCTGTGCAGCCTGGTAGTATGTGTATTGCAGGTCGTGAGAGTGAGGGTCTTTGGAGATTGGAGAGTGGAGAGCGAGAATGCGCGGGGGCGAGACAGGGCGGCTGAAGGGAGGTTTCGAAATCGCGGGTGATGTGGGAATAGGCATGGTGGGTTGGCGATAGTGTGGAGGCTGGTTGAGTTCTCGTGCCCAAGGCTTCTCGTGTCGAAGGTCGAACCTGTGATCTGTCGGGCGTATCGCTCCAAGCCAACCTGGTCCACCAGGGTAAAGACCACACCAACTGGGTTCACACTTGACACTTCAGGCTTCAGACCAAGTCTAATCTCGATCTGTTTGCAGCTCAAGAGCAACGTGTGTAGCAAGTATTCATAAGAGACTAACGAGGGTAATTAAAGAAAAAAGGATTTCAAAAAAGGGTAAAGGACCAAATCTTCAGTCTGGTCCAGATCCATCTGGGCCGGAACAATGTGGTTAAGGCCTGGTAGGATCCAGACCAGCTAGGCTTGGACTGTACCAGATAGGTTTGGTTCTCAGCTGGGGGACCACTTGGGTGCAAATATTGGGTCCACATTGTTTTTAACCAGGTCCGCTCAGCGCCAGCTGATACGCGGTGCAGCAGGATTGATCTCACAGTCGTGACTCTGCTTCTGAAGAGGAAGAAGAGGAAGGCCCACCGGTAAGTGGTATATTACCTCATACTTAGAAAGCACGAACCTGGTCACCATTGCCACCGAATTCATTCTTTTCAGGCACAAACATAGCAGCAATGGACTCTGCCCCTGAGTCGTTCGCACAGTGTGTTGGTTGGTATTGATCTTACAGTCGTGACGCTGCTTCTGACGAGGAAGGCTCTCTGGTAAGTGCTATATTACGTGAGCTGTGGTGCCAGAGCAAGGTCTGTAGGTGTCGTTTTGCCTGCAGCGGTGGGTTTGGACGGAGTTCTGGTCAGATGCATGCAGGTCTCGTTTCATCTTCACCTGAGGCTATAAGGAGAAAAAAAAAGGAAAAAAAGTCGGTGTTTTCGTTTTTCGGTTTTCTGTGGGCCGCCGTCCTGGCTGCGCCCCCACGCCCAGCGTGGTATCAGTGTGTGTGTGTGTGTGCGTGTGTGTGTTTGTATATGTGATGTGTGCTTGTCTTTGACTGGTGTGTGTGATGGATGTGTGCGTCTCCGTAGTAGCGTGGCAGAGTCGAATGTTGCAAAGCGAAGGCGAGCGTCGGGCGTTGTTTTTTTTTGGGGGGGGGGGATGCTCGGACTTCGCGTTAGGCGGCMCCCCCCACCGCCGGCCCCACCCTACTCCCTAACCACTGCTGATTAGGGTCCTACGCCAGTGCCAAGCTTCATCTTCATATATTTTTCGAAATTGAGTCGCGTTCGGGGACATCATGTGTCATATCTATTTTTTTCCTCTCCTCTGCCCATGCTTCTCTCTTCTCTCTTCTCTTCTCTTCTCTTTTCTTCTCCTCCCTTCTCCCTTTCTCCGCCTTGCATATCCGTTTGAGTGTCACTTGCTACTCGTCAGTGTCGTCACGACTGGATGAGAAGAAGAAGCACTATTGGAGTGGTAGATACTACACACACACACACTGCTGATTGGGGGGGGGGGGCGGGGGGCGACATGCATCCCCTGGGGCAAGGTCCCACTAGCAAAGAGGATAGGATTGAAGACCTGAATCTGAACGTGTTTGTTCGCAGCCAGGAATGGCTGCGTATACGGGGTTGTGTTTTGTCTTTTAGCGGATGCGTTTCCGTTTGGGGAATGTCGTCGACCTTTTCGGATGCAGCGAGACGGCCACGTTGTCCAGCTGCATTCACAATGTTGTCGGGTGGAGAGTCGTGCAGAGTCCTGCAACGTCGTGCAACAAGGCCTTAAAAACAGGTGTAAGTGGGTATACAGGGCGTCGTGGTCGCGGACAGGACAGGAGACGGACCTGTCGTTCCGTGAGGTAACATGGCGGCAGTCGCGTGGTCGCTGGTGTGTGTCCAGTATAGGAAAGTCGGGAAAGGGTTATCTGACCGTGCATTAAATAGGGAGATCGACGGCCCGGATGTAATCCACTGATACCACGCATGGTGTTACATGCAGCGCGTGCACACACGGGCCATTTTGCAGGCCCGACGGCCATTTTGCAGGCCCGACTGGATTCAGGCCAARACCCTGGATTTCAGGCCGAAAGCCTGAAATTCAGGGCTTACAGGCCCCATTTCGGTTCAGGCCGAAAGCCTGACTTTCAGGGCCTACAGCCCCTGCGACGTTTCAGACTAAAAATGGTAATAGCATTTTTAGCCTGAACCCAAGGGCTATTTTTGGTCGTTCATCAGAACGACCGGCCCTGAAACTCAGGCACCGAACCAGGGTTTTGGGAACAGCCGATATTTAGACTGTTCCCACGCCTGCCTCAAGCAGGCTGCTGCACGCCAGCCCTTGGCACACTTCGGCATTGGCAAGAGCTGCCTCCTCGGCCTGCTCGCCCTCCTGCAGTCAGGAGGCAGGCCGAGGAAGTACTTCGGGACTTCCCAGGCACTTCACAGGTAGGCAGTTCGGCAGTTGTAGTCTTCAGGATTCAGGAGCAGCAATCTGGAGGGAGCACTGCGTTGTAGTAGAGTAGCGTTAGCGAGTAGTCTTCAGCGCTGGAGCGCAGTAGGTAGCTGTAGTCGTCGGCGCTGGGCGCCATAGCTAGGTAGTGGTAGAGATGATGGGTGGAGGCCAGGGATTGCTTACCTGCAGCGCCGTTGCTCCAGCTTCGTCTTCGAGGTACCTGCAGCATAGCGCCAACATCACAGGTTAGTACCTGGTTCGTAACAGTGAGAGAGAGAGAGTTCTCTTCTTCCTCTTCTCAGTCCACCATCTTCTTCTTACCCTCTCAACTTCTGACTTCCCTGCAGTTGCASACTACGAGAGAAGAGRTACCGGGMTTGGTGACATATGATCCAGACTCGACTTCTTGGGGATTCAGACATGAYGACRARGGACTATTTGGRATTGGTGACCAAKACTTGGTGTTAACGACATTCCCATCCTTCTYCCTCCTTCRTCTGATCCTTATCTCTTCGTCTGYGTATGTCTGGACYTGGCGCTTKCTTCCTGTGTTACAGCGCYAGGCTCCTTCACACTGAGTGATGGATACAATGCATGTGTARTCTGAGTTCRAACATTGGTTGGGCTAGATTCTAGCCTTCTGCTTCGCTATTCGATACCTACGTGAAAGAGGTCAGTCCAGTCAGGTCAGTCTTTGTATCAAAGTCTTCCCTGCGCTCTTCAGCATCTTTATGTATGAATGAGAATGTACATTGCTTGTCGAGATTCTACNGTCCAGTCAGGTCAGTCTTTGTATCAAAGTCTTCCCTGCGCTCTTCAGCATCTTTATGTATGAATGAGAATGTACATTGCTTGTCGAGATTCTACTCGTACCGCATTGTCTATTCAGTCATTTTTATCACATTGCAGATTCTCGGTTTATTACGTACATTGCATATCTGTGCATGTAACAGTTGGTATAGAAGCTTTTGCACGTGAATCAGGACGATCTGATCTGACACGTGTGCGGGGATCAAAAAGCAAGTTAGTCTTTTCTGTTTGATTAGGACATACAAGTTAGACCCCAAAATCATGATCTTGACCTTACTACAAAAAAAAAAAAAAAAAATTGAAAATTTTCTTTTCTCGGATTTTATTTTCTCGCTATTCTGCTGTGGAAAATCGCTATATCGCAACATCTGAAATTCCTATTTTCGTTTTTTTTCGTTCTGAAAATTCGGAATTTCGTTGTTAAAAATCCGGAATATATTTCTTTCTGAAAGTTTCGATTCTATGTGCATTTCCCGTTACGTAGAACTTCGGAATATCTTCGTTTCTGAAATTCGTTTTTCTAAAAACGGTACGGGAAATACCTCCTGCACGTATTATTTTTCAAACTGCGAATATTCCCATGGGAATAAATCCGAATATTTGTCATTTCTGTTCGGACTTTTTTTTCGCAGTTCTTGGATTCTGTCAGTTGGTTCTATAAATCGGTTGCAGTCTAAAGTCGGAATTTTTTTCGCTTTCAGAGATCATTTCGTACTTCAAGGGAGATTGGGAGACCTACTGAACTTGCAAAATCGGGATTTTTTTATTTTCTCGAAATTTTTTTTTGCAAAGTTCAAACTTTTCTACTTTGATTAGTGGCTCCTTATCTAAGTGTGAGTTGGGCGATTATCCCACCCACCCCTCCCCACCTACGTTGTTGCCATCTCTCGCCTTGCCGTTTTTGGTTGTCTCCGGGTACACCTTGTGACGGCATTGGTAAGTTGCCACGTCAGCAGGCCATGTCAGCAGACCACGTCAGCAGGACACGTCAGCAGGCTACGTAAGTACGTCAGCAGACCACGTCAGCAGGCCACGTCAGCAGGACACGTCAGCATTGCCACGTCAGCAGCAAGGGATACCACATCAACAGGCACCGGTCTGGTCTATGTTGTTGCATTCACAAACAGCAGTCATGGACCAGAAGGCCGGGGAAACAAACGAGGCCTATCAGGCCCGCATGTTAGCCTGGAGTACCGAGACAAAGAAGCGGGCAGATGACGCTACCGCAGCAGCAAAGAAAAGGGCGGAGGATGCCGAGCAGGCACGTCTGCTGGCGGTTGAACAACAACGCCAGCATGACGAGGCAACAGCAAGGGCTGCCGATGAAGAAAAAACACAAAGTCGTGAGAAGATATTCACCGAAGAGCGGGCGTTACTTACCATGGCAGCAGAATGGCGAAGCGAGGCCGAGAACAGCGGGGTTGGAGGACAGCGCAAACAAGATAGCGCTCCTCCTCTCGCATCTCACGGATCTCCTGGCAACCTGCATTACACAGCAGGCGGAGATCCTTGSTCTCGACAACTCGGTAACTCATCTCCAAGACCGCCTTCAGCGGGTGGAGCAGCGACCAGTCGCCGCCGCCGACGCAGGCTCTTCCAATACTGCCGACCGCCTCACCGCATTGGAGATGCACGTCGGCTCCCTCTAGGACCGCACACAGTTACAGCAGATCGCGACGCAACAGTTGCAGCAGCGGATCTGCACTACCGCCACCACCTCGAGTTCGGAGCCGCGCGAGACAGCTCCTAAGTTCGATGGGCAGGAGATCTTCCACGACTCAATCAAGACAGATCCAATTCCATGGTTTCGCAAGTTCGAGCTCACGCTGCAGCTCCACAACGTCAAGGAAAACAAGCATCACGCCTACTTGTACTCTCGCTCAGGGGGCGCGTGTCAGGCTTGGTTGGACAACCTRTTGTCCAAGTACGGAGTGGTAGCTGCGGACTTGCACACCGTGATCAGTTGGGATGATCTGAAGGCGGCGTGGCACAAGCGGTTCCAGGTGGAAATGCCAGAGATCAAGGCCATGGACAAACTCATAGTTTTTGAGCAAGGCTCGCTGCCGAGCGCGGACTGGATCGTCGAGTACCAACGCTTGACGTCCGTCCCAGACATCCAGATGGGCTTCAAAGCCATCCGCCACTACTTCATCTCAAGGTCATGTCCGRCATTGAGCAATGCCCTGACGCATGTCGAGGACACCTTGACGACGACGGCGGAACTATTCGACAAGGCTGCGCAGATCATCGTTACGAACAAGGAGGCCAAGAACCTCCGTTCATCTGCGTCAGGCCCGAGCAGGGACCAGCATCGGCCAAGAGTGGCCGTGGTCGCAGCGGCAGCGCCGTTAGACCAATCCAGCGAGGCTGCGTCTGCCAGTGAAGGGGACAGATTCGCAGCCACCCGGGAAGGTGGCCGCCCCGGCAGAGGCCGAGGTCGCGGCAAGCCGAAGACACACACCGTTTCTAGCCCCGGGCCCGGTGCAGCARCTCAGACAGGCCCATGGACCCCGTACGGCATCTCCGAGTCCGCCTACAAGGCGCGCGAGAGATTCCATTATTGCCTGTGGTGCAACAACGATCTTCATCAGACGCCGGTTTGCCCACTGAAGGGCAAAGGTCGACACGGAAACTGAGCACCGCCGAGAGTGATGCGACGACACTCTCGACGCCTTCGAAACTGGTTTCTTCGCGAGTGACCAGCCTTCATTCCGAGACGCACGTGGAAGTCGACAGTCCTCCGCTCCTACTTTCTTTCGAGGACTATGCTGCCCGGCTCATTCCAACGCTGGGTTCTCAAGCTCAAGGACAAGGAGTGTGTGCGGTTTCTTCTCCGTCCGACAACAACGAGATATCGTCTTCAAGTGGTGATTCACGGGATTCGGCGTGCGAGTTCAACATAGAGGCATTGGACCCGCTCACGTCTGAGGACTTTGCATGGCTTCCTCTCCCGACCACAGGCTGTTTGCCGGGACCGCAATGCGCAGCACTTAGCGCTCATCTTCACACTTACCTTTCCTTCTATGCACCACCAACTTCGCCGACGGATGACGAGGTCGCGGTGGGGGACATCCTGGCATATACTACCAAGGTGGCCTGCGAGTTTCGCACGCAGCGGTACGATAACAACAATGCACCGCTCATGTATGTCCGCATCCAGGTTGGACAGGCGTCCTGCAGCGCTCTGTTGGATAGCGGCGCGACTCGCAACTTCATGAGTCAGTCTTTTATGCAAAGAGCTGGCCTTGGCGCACAAGTTCGGAGAAAGGCAAACCCGACGGCGATAAAGTTGGCGGATGGAAAGACGCAGCAACTACTCGACCGTTACATCGAGGCCGTACCGGTTAACTTCGCACCTCATGCATGCGAACCGGTGACATTCGACATTCTCGACACGGACTTCGACATCATTCTGGGAATGCCTTGGCTTGCAAGTGCGGATCACACGGTCAACTTCCATCGGCGGACTCTTAGCGTTCGCGACGCCTTCGGCGCGGAAGTGGCATGTACTATTCCTCTACCGCACTCTTCGATCCGGTGCCAAGTGGTGACGGCCAAATCATTTCGGGCGACTTGTGCTTACGAGCAGCCCGAGGAGATCGACATATGTTTCCTACGGACCGTCGCGGTTGCCGACTCTGCACCCACGGACTTGTCTTCGGACCCCCGTGTGGTACGGTTGCTAGACGAGTTCGCCGGCATCTTCGAGTCACCTACCGGTGTGGTGCCGGGTCGGCCGATCTCTCACGAGATCATTCTTGAGGCCGGTGCCGTGTCACCGAAAGGTTGCATCTATCGGATGAGCGAGGAGGAGCTTGAGGTACTCCGCGCACAACTCGATGATTTGTTGGCCAAGGGTTGGATTCGCCCGAGTAGCTCCCCATATGGAGCACCAGTTCTCTTCGTCAGGAAGAAGAACAAGGATCTGCAATTGTGCATCGACTACCGCAAGCTCAACACGCAGACTGTCAAGAATGCGGGGCCTCTTCTTCGCATCGACGATCTTCTTGAGCGGCTGGGCGGTGCCAAGTACTTCTCCAAGTTGGATTTAAAATCAGGTTATCATCAAATCTCGATTCAGCCGTTCGATCGCTACAAAACCGCGTTCAAGACGCGGTACAGGCATTTTGAGTGGGTGGTCATGCCTTTTGGCCTCACCAACGCCCCGACGACCTTTCAGGCGGCTATGACCAATGAGTTTCGTGCGATGTTGGACCGGTTCGTGATGGTCTACTTAGACGATATTCTCGTCTACAGCCGGTCATTGGAGGATCATCTGGGGCATCTTCGACGAGTGTTGGAGAAGCTCCGCCGCGCCAAATACAAGGCCAACCGCGGCAAGTGTGAGTTTGTCCGGCAGGAGCTGGAATACTTGGGCCATTTTGTCACACCGGAGGGCACCAGTCCACTATCGGACAAGATTCATGCCGTCCAAGAGTGGCCGGAGCCTCGGAACGTCACGGATGTCCGCTCGTTCCTCGGTCTTACCGGCTACTATCAGCGCTTCATCAAAGGCTACTCCAAGATCGCGACCCACTTGAACAAGCTTCAGTGCGAGGATCGACCGTTTGACTTTGGAGAGGAGGCGTGGGGATCATTCCTCGCTCTCAAAGCTGCGCTATTGTCTGCGGAGGTCTTGCGGATATACGACTCGCTCGCGCCTGCACGTGTCACTATGGATGCGTCAGGCTATGGCATTGGTGCAGTCCTCGAGCAACATGATGGTGTGAACTGGCACCCGGTCGAGTACTTCAACAAGAAAGTGCCACTCGTGCATTCCATTGACGATGCATGCAAGAAGGAGCTCCTCGCCTTCGTCCACGCGCTCAAGCGGTGGCGGCACTTCCTCCTTGATCGAAGCCAATTTCGCTGGGTAACGGACAACAATCCGTTGGTCTTCTATAAGACCCAAGACACCGTCAACAGCACCATCGCTCGATGGATGGCTTTCATCGACCAGTTCGACTTCTTTCCCGATCACATTCCCGGGAAGTCGAACCGTTTTGCGGATGCTCTCTCACGGCGTCCGGATCATTGTACCACAGTCTACTAGACCTTTGAGATTGACGACGACCTGCGGAACAGCTTCATCCGCGGCTACCAGGCCGACCCCGATTTTCGTGACAAGTACGCGAATTGCTCCTCTCCTAATCCGGCTCCTTCTCACTATCGGATCCAAGAGGGGTACTTGCTTGTCCACACGCGGGGGAAGGACCTTCTTTGCGTACCGAGTGATCTTCACTTGCGTACACGGCTTCTTGGCGAGTTCCACGACGCTCCCTCCACTAGACATTTTGGAGTCAATCGCACGATTGGCCGACTTCGCCAGCGATTTTGGTGGCCCGGCCTTCTCGACGACATGCGAGGTTTGCCGACGCTGCAAATCCCGCAACCATCGTCCGTATGGCGAGCTACGACCATTGCTAGTCCCGTTGAGGCGAAGGGAAGCGATTGCCATGGACATCACCGGCCCGTTCCCCAAGCACAAGACCGGAGTGGATGGGATTCTCACGGTGGTCGACCGACTCACCAAGTTTGCCATGTTTTTGCCTTGTCGCTATCATGCCAAGGCACTGGAGTTGGCCGAGGTTCTGTACGCCGGTTGGATTCGCACCAAGGGTTACCCCAAGGAGATCGTCTGCGACCGCGACACTCGGTTCATGTCCGATTTTTGGTTGGTGCTCATCAAGCGATGGGGCTCATCTCTCAAGCCCAGTTCAACTCGCCACCCTCAGACCGATGGCCAGACGAAGAGGGCGCATTAGACCGCACAGGTTCTCCTTCGCACTCTCATCCGCCCCGACCAGAAAGACTGGGTTGAGCGACTGCCGGACGTTGAGTTGGCCTACAACTCTTCCATCCACCCGGCTATTGGGATATCGCCCTTCGAGTTTGAGCACGACTCGCCGGTCACGTCACCGTTGGACACGATTACTCCACGCACGACCGAGAGCGATGACCATCTTCTTTTCTTGCGGCGAATGCAAGAGCTTCTTGTCAAGGCACGCGACCAGATGGCTAAGACGTAACAGTGCATGCGCCAACAGGCAAATCGYCAGCGTCTTCCTTGTCCATTTCGCGCCGGAGACCTTGTCTGGGTTTCAGCAGCGGAATTCAGCCTTGAACAGGACATCTCTCGCAAGCTCCTTCCGAAATGGATGGGTCCTTGGCCAATCATCAAGCCCGCTGGGGACGCACCTGAGGGGCCTTCCTTCACGATTCAGGTGCCTAGCCACTTGCCCGTCTACCCAGTCTTTCATTGTTCCAAATTGGCTCTATACACGACTGCGGAACATGATGATTTTCCCGAGAGACGAACGCAGGATCCACCTTCTATGGATGGTTTTCAGGAGGTCGGCGACATCATCTCCCAGCGACGCTACGGCAACAAGCCAACTGAGTATCTGGTGCATTTTGCTTACTGCACTCATCGAGCTGATCGTTGGTTGACCCGTGCGGAACTGCAAGCGACAGCTCCAGACGTTCTCGCACGCTACGAACGCAAGATGCAAGGCAAGCCGGATTCTTCGGCTCCACGCCGCGCCCACGTCCAGGTTCCACCTTCAGACCGACGGCTTCGCCCTCGCCCCGGCTTGATTTCATAAGGAGGGGGGGATGTTACATGCAACGTGTGCACACACGGGCCATTTTGCAGGCCCGACGCCCATTTTGCAGGCCCGACTGGATTCAGGCCAAAACCCTGGATTTCAGGCCGAAAGCCTGAAATTCAGGGCTTACAGGCCCCATTTCGGTTCAGGCCGAAAGCCTGACTTTCAGGGCCTACAGCCCCTG